CCGGGGTCACGGTCAAGGGGCGGGGCGCTGGTGCTGACGTCACCTCGGGGGGCGGCGAGGCGGAGACCTGCTGCCCCCTGGTGGGCGCGCGCGGCACTGCCTCCCGGACGCCTGACGGGGGACCTTGAAAGCTGTAGGCTGCGCGTGGTCACACCTGTCATCTTAACAACAGCCCTGCGTGGATGATCTCCGCATGACACATACAGAAGCATACCTGTTGCGAACACGAGGGTTCCTCCTCCCTATGAGTGGTCTGTAAGTGGCAAAGCGAGAACTAGAACAGCCTAGTCTTCCAACCCTGGTGTCCTGCAGTTTCCCATGGGCTGTGCTGGGTGCTAGGGACTGGGTGCTAGGGACTGGGTGCTAGGGACTGGGTGCTGGGGTTGGCCAGAAAACATGGTCTCATAGTCTATGATGCTTCCCATCAGACTGGAAAACACAGACACACGGGGAAAGTTAAACTTCAACGGGGTGAGGCAGGTGTGTGTCTTTATCACACTCCTAGTTAAAGTAGATGCTTAATGAATACATGGAAAATAAATTCATGTATGAGCCAAGGAATGTTATAGGACAATACAAGGAACCCGCTCGGTGAATGAGTGTCCGATGGGGGAACCATGGCTGGGAATGCTTTCCAGGGGAGTTGATATGAAATAAGTAAGCTGTTACTCTAATTGCTATAGAATTTACGCCATGTCCGCTTTCTGTTAAGTGGTTCACGTAGATTATCTTATTTAAACCTCATGACAATCCTATAAGAATATGTTATTTTCCTCACCCCTTTTCTACAAAAGAGTTCATAGTGGTTAAGCATCTTGATCAGGGTCACATGGCTTGAACTTGGCTGTGCTGGGATTTGAAGCCAGGCAGTTTGATGGCAGAGCCTACACACGTAACTAAGCCAGTGTTTTTCCAACTTGGTTGCATATGGTACGTACCCGGGTCTCATACGTAGGTTTAATTGGTCTGGGGTGCAGTCTGGGCAGCTGGAATTTTTAAAGCTCCCCAGATGATTATAATATACAGCCAAGTTTGACAGCCACTAACAACTGCACTACAACAATTCCTTGGTTAAATTCTTCCATCCTCAGTCAAGATCGAAAGCACCGAGAATCTACCCTATGTTAAAAATCTTCAAACAGGAGATAGCATAATCTCTCTCAGGAATCTCTCCTTTTCAGGAGTCCTCCCTACCCCCCCCCCCCATACCTTACGCAAACATTCTCTTTATAAAACCACATATCAGCTTACTTATCTTCATTTAGAGATCATTATCATGACCATTCACCCTCTTATTTTCTAGACTTCTGAGAAAACAGAGGACTATATCCTGTGTTAAAACTCCTGGAGGAGCTTTAATGTAAGACAAGAAAGAACATTTTTTTTATGTTACATAATTCAAAGATTATCTGTGTATTGGGACATAAGAACCAATTTAATAATTTCAGCCTATAATGCATTTCCATTCCAAATAAATAGCCAACCAAAGTCAAATCAAATAGAAATTACTTTCTGAAGTAACCTTTAAGTCAAGAAATCCATTCAGGACACCAAAAAATGTAATAGTTTTAGAATGAATGTCTATGAGAAATAGAATGAGAGCCACATATATAATATTAAATTTTCTGATACTCACATTTTAAAAAGTAAAAAGAAACTAGTGAAACTAATTTAATTTCATATTTTATTTAACCCTAAACATATAAAATATCATTTTTTAAAATCCTCACCTGAGGATATTTTTTCCATTGCTTTTTCAGAGAAAGTGGAAGGAGGAGAAAGAGAGAGAAACATCAATATGAGACACATCCAAGGGTCGCCTCCCACACTCACCCAGACCAGGGCTGGGTATCGAGTCTGTAGCCGAGGTGTGCCCTTGGCAGAAATCAAACCCAGGACCCTTTAGTCTACAAGCCAATGCTCTAACCCCAGAACCAAACCAGCTACGGCTACAAAATATCATTTTGACATGAAATCACTGTAAAAATTATTAATGAGATATTTTACACTCCCTCTTTTTTTTAGTACTGAGTAAAATTCAGTGTGTATTTTACACTCACAGCACATCCCAATTCAGACTAGCCACACATCAAGTGCTCAGTACCCACATGGGACTGGTGGCTTTGGCATAAACAGTGTAGAGCCAGACCAAGTCTGTGCTATGAAATGTTGCCTTCTCAAGATGCTTTCCAGATGGATTTCACTGATCCTTGACTTGCTTCTAACTTGTCTCTGCTCCAACATTGTTTTAGAATGTATCCAAAGACCCCAACTCATTGCTGACTTTGGCTGAGCTTAGACCCTTCAATGACCTTGGCTAGCCTGTCAGGAGAGAGGAGCTGGAGGGCTAGCTCCCTGGCGCCCTCCCTGCTAATCCTACCCTCTTCATCTCGATCCTTTGCTGCCCCTGGGGGGCAACCAGTAGCACTTCACCAAGAGGCAAGGTTGGAATGATCCCAGAAATCGCTCTACGGCTTGGCAGACAGCACAGCAGTTCTGGAAAGTGCTGTGGCACATGCACAGACACAATCCACCCTCATGGATTACCGCCAAGACTCTATGATAAATTTAAAACGTGGAAATATTTGGGGGCATCTGATTGAGAGTTAAGGTTTTCTCAATTACACAAAGCTTTCAGAACTAAAAACACATAGGTTCGAGTCTTTCTCATTTTAGGATCCCTACGTTCTCGCTCAGCATCCTCACCCATCACTTTCTTCACTGTTTGCCGCCTGTCCAGGGAATGAAGCACAGATTCTGTTCCAGCATTCCTGCCAACCCAACCCAGCCCTCCCTACCTTTGCATTTTGTCCTATACGCACTTTACCAAATATATGGAGTCCAACTTCCCTTTTTATCCAATCTTAACGTTGTTCTTTACCCTCACCTCTTCTTTCTTCTGCTCCTGTCTCTGAGGGCTAACCTAAGCTCCGGGAGAGCAGGACCGGCGTCTGGTTTTGCTCGGTATCATATCCCCGGAGCCTAGCACATGCCTGATGCACAAGTAGTTGCTAATAACGTTTTTTAAGTGGATGAATAAATGCTTAGAAGGATACTATTTATAGGTAGTAAACCCAAATGTTACGCCTTTTCTTTGATGATTCTCTCGGATTTATAAGCAGCATTGTTAGGAAAGTAGTATTTAGCCAAGAGCAGTGCTGAGCGTTTTGCCTGTCAATGCTAACTGGCTTCTCAAAAACCTTACAGAGTATAATCCTCATCAAACATATACACACATTGATTATGAAAGAAATGCCCTGAGCCTAACTCTAACGTTTTGAGTTTTTGATGGTGAATCTTTCCGTGGCAGAGTCTCCATGGATTTCTTTAATTTCCTTTCAACACACCTCACGTAGAGGGTCCCGGCAGAGCCTGCCCATCTCTCCCTGCTTCCACCTAGAATGAGCCCTGAGAGTTATGGGGGCGAAGGGCTTGAAGAACAGAACCTGTGGCGGGTGGTTGGACCTACGTGCAAAGTACCACGTGGCAGAGGAGGGAGAATGGAGACCTAGCTCAGGTGGTTACAGCAGAGAAGGGGTGCAGGGGGGAGGCTAAGGAACCTGGGCAGGGAGCTAGTGCACACGCAGGTGGGCTCCCTGTTCTGCAAATGTGGCAAGATGCCATATACATGCAGTTTAGAAGGCATCCCCCCAAAAAATCCAATGACAGTGACCTCCCAGACTGTGCCTGACAATGACAGGGGAGAGAAAAGGGGTGCAAGCCACATAGAATGGAATCATCTTGGTCAGGGAGGAGAGGCGCAACTTCTTGAAAGAGAAGGCGCAGGGACAGCAGGTGCTTTAGCATGGGCTTCTGAGCCCACAGAGCAAAACCCCGCTCTCTCTGCCAACCTGAATCCTTCCCGGCTCGGTCAGTTTTGAGTTTCAGGCCAGCTTCAGGACACCTCCTCCACAGGTGACTCTGTAGCCTGTGTGTTTCTCTGGACTCCGACCTGAGCTTGGTGACATCCCTAGCTTTGCCCCTCTCCCCAGGCATCTTGTCGCCCAGTGTCCCCTCCCACCCTCTATCTAAATTTTGTAACTCACATCCATGTGCTTGGCTTCTCAGGGGTGAGGGGCTTGGTGGAAAGGGGAATAGGGGTTCAGGCCTGAATACTTGGAGCGCCCACAGGAAAATGAGCTGGAGTGTCTGGTTGGAAAGGGGAACCAGGAGATTTTAATATTTCTCAAATTTGAAAAAAATTGAGTGTTGCTCAGGGCGCCATCCTTGGTCTTTTCCTCTCCTGGTCCCGCCTGCTCTCACCAAGCAATGCTGTCCTCACTTATTGCTGGGCTCATGGTCCACTTACAAAAGGACAGCTGCCTGTGTGTCCCCCCAGTGCACCCTCACCACACTGCACAGTAATGACCGTGTTCAGTCTCTGCCACTAGAGTCTAAGAGGCTCAGAACAGGACTGTCTCGGTCAACAGCGAATCTTCATCCAGCACTTTCAAGAGTATGACTTGCATTTGCTGAATGACTCTCAGTAACGGGGAAGGTTAAATGATTATGGTACAGCCACAGGACAGAACATTAAACAGCTATCAAAAAATCTAGTGACATGAGAAAGGGCTGATGAAATACTAGAGAAGATAGTAAAAAACAGTACTGTATCCGTAACACGATCTCAACTTTGCAAAAACATACACGTCTGAGCAGAGAGAAAAGATAAGAAAACATCACTGGTTTAGCCGTAACTGTCTCTGGTGATAACACTTGGCTGCTTTTTTTTTTTTTTATAGACTTCTCTATACTTCCTAAAATTTCAGTGAAAACATTATTATTATTTAAATGTAAGCATGAATACCTTATGGTATGTTTGATTCCTAAATACCTCCCCTCACTATCCTCTCTGCTGTTGGGAGTTGACACCAATATTGACACAAAGTTCTATTAATTCCTAGTGGTTAAGGATCACAGATTTTCAGACATATGTTTTCAGTTCATACGTTACAGCTACACGTAATAAATAAGCCTGGGACATGGTTATCTGTCATGAACCAGCAGTGTGACTATGCCAGCCAGCGTATGTATATGGAATTCTACCCTATCCCCATCAACTTAGCCACTTCAATAAATCTGTAATATGATGCTTTATAAGAAACAAAGCATATCGGATAAGAAGTGATGGAAAGTTGGAGCTGGATTAAAGACAGTTTTGATTTTTTAAAAAGTGGTCAGTAGAAATCCATTTTTTTAAAAAAGATCTTTTGCCCTGGCTGGTGATTCTCAGAGGTTAGAGCATCAACCTGGGCACCGAAGGGTGGCGAGTTCAAGTCCCCATCAAGAGCATGTACCTGGGTTGCAGATTCAATCCCTGCCTCCTGCGGGAGGCAACCAATCGATGTGTCTTTCTCACATTGATCTCTCTCTCTCTCTCTCTCTCTCTCCCCTTTCCTCCCTTCCACTCTCTAAAGATCAATGGAAAAAATATCCTCAGGTGAGAATTAACAAAAAAAAGATCTTTAAAGAGTGTAAGAGTGTGTACCATGTATATATATATGTACACACACACGTGTATATATGTCATAAGCACACATCTATGTCATGCCTTGTTATTAAAATAAGACAATGACAGGTATGCATTACAGTGTGAATGGGAAAAATCATTTGGACCAATTTCTCTGTGGGAGAGGTTCGCGTTGTCACTCCGTTCTTCTGCCCTTTCACCTGATAGAGTGTCTCACAAGGTGCCCGCTACCTTCTGTGGCCTCCACACCATTAACCCTTTAGAGAACCAATCTCCAGCTCATCAGGGGTGAGTGTTAAAGCTCTGGTTGTACTCCTTTGTAGTTTTCTTTCCACATTCACCCACATAGACTGTTACACACTTTCCTTGTTTCATTCCGTCCACCACGGCAAACTCTGAGAGTGTACATATGCCAGTGCCTTCATGCCTGCTGCTTAGGCAGGGCGAGGCATTTCATAAATCCGTGTGCCAGGACCCAGAGGCTCGGGAATCTGTCATTTAAATTACAAAGCTGAATAAAAGGCATTTCTAGAAATTTCTGAAAATGATACAATTGCTCTAAAAATAATTTATATGTAGTATATCGTCCATCTTGAGGCTTTTTAAAAGGTCAATCTTCCTCCAATGAGGACACATGATGTGTAAAAGATCAACCACATAAGGATATCTCTTTTGTATTATTTAAGGATCTTGGGTACAAGTTACAGAAACTAACTCTGGCCAGCAAAAAGAACAAAGGCCTCTCTCACAGGGACACAGGGTGTTCTCTCTCCAGAGCAGCTGGGCTCAGGATGAAATGGAAACCAGAAATACCCAGGCTCTCTCCAGTTCTTGCCTCTGCTGCTTCCTGCAGACAGCATTCTCTTTTTCTCAGGCCTTTAAGTCCAAAGTGGCTGCCTCACTGCTCCTGGGTTCACCTATTAGTTCCACCCCTTCTAAGTGGCTAACTTGCTATTCTTGCCACAATTCTAAAAATCTCTGAAAAGCCTGGCTGGCATGGCTCAGTGGTTGAGCATCGACCTAGGATCCAGGAGATCGAGGTTCCATTCCTGGTTCAGGGCACATGCCCGGGTTGCGGGCTCGATCCCCAGCAGGGGCGTGCAGGAGGCAGCTGATCAATGACTATCACTGCTGTTTCTATCTTTCTCTCCCTCTCCCTGGGGGAGAAAAAAAAAATCTCTGAAGAGAATCAGAATGACCCAGCTCAGGTCAGCTGTCCCTTCTTGGTCCATTCAAATGGTAACAAAGGTAGGGTCAGGTAGTCATGCCTTCTGGAAGGCCACACCATGAACTGGGGACAAGTCTCAGAAAAGCAAGAACCATTATGAGCTAGGAGACCCGTGTAAGTATATTAGAATAAAACCAGTGCCAGAGAGCATTGAGGGCAGAAGTTCCTAAATGGGGCAGAAGAGGTGGGGAGGTCAATAACTCTGAACCCTAAGGAAGTTTCCACAGTGTCCTGCTTATGACATATTTCTAAGAAGAGCATCTATAATTTTCATCAATATTCAAGGGGTCTATAAACTTGCCCCCTTTAACCCAGCACACACACACATACACAATTAAGTAACTTATTTCTTAATACTAAGCACATGCCATCTTAGTAATACGAACCAAACAACTTAAATCAACCAGGTATTAGGTAGTGAGGTTTGAGAGGACTGTTGATTTAACAAAAATTTGATTATTAATGAAACACTGAGAAATACTGAATCTAAAGTTTTATAATGAGTAGTTCTGAGTCGAGTCCTAAGTACACGGCAGTTCATAAGACTGTAATTTAAACACGATAAAATTAAAAGAAATAAAAAACTGCCAAACTCAGGAAAAAACTCATTTTAAAATTTTATTTTTACAATTTGGGAACAATATTTTGTTGCACATAAACTGATTTAATTAAAAATATATCTTGTGTCTGTTACATATATAATTATATAAGTAGAAAAATGTGAAAAAGAGTGGTAGGATGAGAATAATATGAAGGTTTATAGGAAAAGCTAATATTTTATATCATTTCTTATGCCACTTCCTTTTACCTTGAACCTTATTAAAGTATTACATTTCCCCAATGGTTCTAAATTTCATAAAGAATGACAATTTTTCTATGTCTACTATATTTAAGTTACACACATTGCATTTCTCTTTTAATTATAGAAGTAATACACGGTGATTGTAAAATAGTCTTGTAATTGCTAAGTAAAACACACAGGTATAATCTTTCACCCCACCCCCCAATCATACTCTCCTTTCCAAAAGCAGCTACTTTAACATTTTAGTGTATGTTGTTTTTTCTAAAAAGTTACATGAATTACTGTGATGTAATTTGCAAGCAATTTTTTTCAAAGTTCCATCCATTATATTTTCAATCCTTAGCGTAATTTTCAATTGCTCAAAAGCTCAAAAACTTCATGTTACTTGCTTTTTTTCTTTATGTCTCATTTACTTTTCTGTAAGTAGATATAACTTTTCAACGAGGCTGTCAATCCCCCAGCTTCTGTGTCGTTCTTCAAACGCATCCGCCTCCTCAAGACACTCAATCTTGCACGCGGACCCTGCAACAAGACTGGCGCAAGTTAGAACTTCACGAAGGACGCGCTCAGGGGTTCTTCTGAAAACACATCAAGTCATTTTAAAGAGTGTGCACTGAAGATTTTTCTCTCTTTTTTTAAATGAAAATGGGGAACTACTAAGGCAAATTTTCTGAACTTTGAATTGTTATCACTTATAACTCCTAAGAGCCAAAATAAAAACACCACCTCTCTAGACGAATTCAAATGTCAACAGAAGCACACCACTCAGCTAATAAGGCATATCACAGAGATGTGCCCCTTCTCTAGGATAAAGCAGTCTTCAGTAAAATGGTTTCTGACTTTCAAATTTTATACTTCAAAATAGTAATTGTTTGATAACAGCTCAAAACAGTAAACTGTTGGTTATATTTAAAAAATTAGAGCACAAGCGCTCTTCCT